GGCGGGGGCCCTGGCGAGCCGGAGCAAACAGCTGGACTTGCATCTGGCGGCGAGGAGGGGGTAGTCGGCGTCGAATTTGCTCGCGTGAGAGTCGGAGATCCCCGGGCCGACGCCGAGGAGCAGGTGGAGCAGGAGAAGAGCGCGTCCGGGCGCCACCGTCACGACGACACTACGACTGCACATGCTTGAGCGGCGAGCCGCGAGCCGACCGCTGTCCGCCGCGGCACCGCCACCGCCGGCCCCCCCCCCCCCCCCCCCCCCCNCCGGGGGTCGCCCCGTGACCGCGCCTACCGCAACAACCACCCGGCCCTGTTGCCGAATCCTCGTCGGGTCCCGGCAACGTCTTGGAGCCACCACTGGGGTTCCTGTAGAGGAAGGTATATAACTGGAGCGAAGGTCTGCTCTTCCCCGTGTCGAGCTGCTAAAATGTAGAAAAAAATGTGAGTGCAAAGATGTCGAAATATGGACCTCTAAGGGTCCAAAGGACAAGAGTAAGGACGAGGAGGACGAGGTCCTCCTGTATAGCGAGAGTATGGACAGCTCGCTTCATACACGGAGAAAAAAACTTCGTGCGTGGGACCCGAAGTTTAGGTCATACGGATCTCTGAAGTTTTCGGATTGAGCATCGGAACACTTTAGGTCCAGCTGCTGAGGTTTGGATCACACATCTGAAACTTCAGTTCTTGCATCTGAAGTACTTCGGTTTTCACATCCGAAAAACTTCGGTGCTCACATCCGAAAAACTTCGGTTCTCACATCTGAAGTACTTCAGATGTAATTACGGAAGTTTCAGATGTGTGATCCGAACATCGACAGCTAGACCTTAAGTGTTCAGATGCTCAATCTGAAAACTTCAGAGATCCGTATGACCTAAACTTCGGGTCCCACGCACGAGATTTTTTTCTCCGTGTAGGGCCCAAAGGAATACACCTGTACAGCGAGAGTATGGACAGCTCGCCTCATAGATGTTAGGATCGGAAAGGGCTGCCAGCCATGTAACACACAAACTGCCAATCTTCAGATTCCAATATCAAACCAAGGTGCCCAGTGGCGTGCAAATGGGGGNGTGCAAAGGGGGGGGGGGGTCTTGCCCATTTCCCTAGAATTGAAAATAGTATCATCTGGCCCCTCCCAGAAATTCATGGATGGTGGGAAAAGATCTTCGTCGAGGATGATTATCTCTCTTAATGTAGAGTCTAAATTGAAAACACCGTGTTCATTCACTCAGTATTTTCTAAAATTTTCATCATGGAAGCCTCAAATGGGGCCAAATACAGTTGAAATTTCAAAAAATTCTCGAATCTATTCAATGCAACAATTTGAGAGTATTCTTTGCTCAAAGTGAACAAACAAACGTAATTCTTCGGCAGAAATGAATGGAAAATCTGCATCACAGAAGCCTCAAAATGCGTCCAAACAGGGTTGAAATTTTAAAAAAATTCTGGAGGAGGCTCCCCGGACCCTATTTTGCACTGAGGGGTATTCCACTTTCTACCCGATCGTTCAAGTCTCCGAGGGTGTGGATCCGACGGAAACCACTAGCGCGACTGCGATTCACCCCCCAGACCCCCCCGTAGAAGGTGGGCCAGGCCCTCCCTAGCAAAATGACCTGGGTACGCCTTTGACGATGCCCGAACGTTCTTCCGCAAGTTCCGCAACAATGAGAAAATTCACGTAAAAACTAAGTAAAAAACACAGTTTACAAACGACGAGTCGTAGCAATTATGATAATAAATCGTTCTGGATAATTTGAATTCCTAGACTGGCTGCCCTGCGGACCTTAAAAGCTCCATGACAACAAAAATGACCGACGCATCTGTTCTCTCCAGTACCCTCTCCATATAGGAGCAAAATAGGTACAAAACGCTCAACCGCATTCACCAGTGTTCCAATTCAATCGCATTTATAGCAGGAAGGAATCAAGGCACATAAGTTATTGCCAAATTTAACAGAGCAATTTGATTTTATATAAGCGAACGTTCTTGCGGATTCTTTTGAAACTCTGAAGAACTTTGCCTCATACTTTGCAGAAAATTCTCTGAAATTTGCAAATTTCGCTAAGTCGTCATTAAATTGTCCAATTAAATTAAGCAATAGCTGATGTGACTTGTTCCCTTCCTGCTAAACGTGATCCTTTTTTCCCCCAAAACAAATTCCCCTGCAAGACTGAATGAGAGTTTTGTCACTCCTAGGTGCTTGACTTGAAAGGAACCTTCGTCTCATTTACCTTGAGGGTTTGAGAGACTAGTATCCTCACAGAAAGACTATCGGCATCTCATCTAGGCACTTTCTTCTGGATCCGAAAGGAGCGGTGACATTGGGTGGTAGGGGGGCTTTTGCCAACCTTTGAAAGTTACAAGCTGCTGCTAACCTTAACACAAAGTTGAGGCATCTTGAAGCAAAAGGAGCGAAGTCCGTTTTGCTGATGAGCCCTGGACCTCCAAAGAACATTAGCGTTGCGGGGCTCATTGGCAAAATTGATTTTGCTCCTTTTGCTTCAAGATGCCTTACCTGAATTATGTTCAATGGTTTTTTTTCTTTAAAACAAATATAACGCCAAAATTTGATAAAATAAGTTTAAAAATCCTAGATTTGCATAATCGATACATGAATCATGGGGATGAGAGGCGAATAGGCGACCAGACAAGGTGTGAACTAGAAAGAAGCATCACATGTTTTCTCCTCAAAATCTTATTAGAAAACAATCAACACTGCGGGAAGTTTTGAAATCAACGCCTGAACTATACATATATTAACGAGTCTTATAAACACAGATAAAATGGATTGCGTTTTGCAAAGAGGAACCAGAAGCATTGCAATCATGCTAAGCTTGTGAAAATTTATCCTTTGCAGTAATATAACTGAAATCATGAAAAAATATGAAATTCACAGGGTAATTTTTGTCTTAGATTCACAGTTTTCAGCGAGTAAAATAGAAACTGTCAATGGATAATCAGGTTTATTTTCCAAGACAAAAGAAGTTACACAATCTTAGCAACATTGCAATGCTAGTGGTTCCTTTTTGCAAAATGCAATCAAAATGGAAGTTCGATTGTACAAATGACATCATTTTTATTTATGCCATTTAACCGATGTTAATAGAAAAACGTATACGATAGTGTCTTGCTTGTGGTTGATTTTAAGACTTCCCGTTGTATGAACCGTTTTTCCTTGTGAAATTCTGATGAGAAAACACGTAGCGTCGTGCTTCAATTCATACCTCGTCTAGAGGCCCATCGATTCACATTCTCAGCTATTCTAGCCTGCATGGGCTTCCAGTCTGGTAATCAAACTGCCGTGCTAAGGAAGAAAGCCGTATGAGCCTCCCGGCATTGCCAAATTTCCTCTGGCAAATCACTAATTTTCCGGACAATTTTTGGATATTTTTCTGTTGATTTCTCAGATAATTTTGTTTTTAGTTTGATCTAAAGTGTCTGAAAATTTCAAGGAAAAATATGCATAACAAAACTAAAAAATACATGTTTTATTCGGGGAAATTTGGCAACTCTCGAATGTTCACACGGTGTTCTTCCTCAGCACGGCAGCACAGCACTGGTCATTTAAATACACATGATTTCGAACGGTCAAGACGGGCGGACAGCCTATTTGCGGTAGTGCGGGTACCTGCAGTACTGCTGAGCTGAGGAAGAACACCGTATGAGCCTTCAGACGTTGCCAAGTTTCCTGCGATAAAAACCGAATTTACTGAGAAAATTAAGAATATTTCATTGCAAAAGTTTCAGACAATTGTGTATGCAATGTAATCTAAAATATCTGAAAATGTCAAGGAAGAATATGCATGAATGTCCTTAAAAATGCATGTTTTTTCCGGAGAAATTTGGCAACTCTCGTATGTTCATACGGCGTTTTTCCTTAGCACGGCAGAGTACTGCTGAGCTGATGAAGAACACCGCATGAGCCTACTGCCGTTGCCAAAATTCCTTGATAATTTATGAATTTTCAGGGAGAACTGTGAAGATTTTTCCTTGATTAACTCAGAGACTTAAATTCGCAACCAGATCTAAATCATCTGAAAATTTCAAGGGAAAATACGTGTAACTCTCCTCATAAACATACATTTCATCGGAGGAAATTTGGCAACCTCTGAAAGCTCATACAGTGTTTTTCCTTTGCATGGCAAAGCACCGGACCCGCGTTTCTTGCAAATCACTCCAAGTTATGGTAACGTTGTTGAGATATCTGAACTATAAATGGCAAGTGTATTCATTTTTGTGGTGATTTTTGATGAATCGCTTGAGGTTAGCCTGTATGGAGCTATGAGGGTCGCAAATAGACGAAAAAGACTGACGAAGAGACTTCATACAATCATTCAAATCTCTCTGAGAAGAATGAGACTGTCGAACATGCAATTCAACTAACTGAGTAGATTTTTTTTAGTAAGCATCGACTGAAAATAACGTTAAAGAAACAACTTACGAAATGTCTAAAATACACCGCAATATAGGCAATTTGTCACCACCGAAAAACTCTTGATCACGTGTTTTGGACCAATTCAGGACACTCTAAATCTTTTCCCGTGTATCTATTACCATCCCACGCGAAAGTTAGACCACGCATCTCGATTTGCGACGTTGCAGATTTCCTGCCATATTTTACTAAAATACTTAAATACTAATAAGTGCCCAGAATCAATTCTTCAAAACTTCTTTAATTTGTTTCGCTCTGTTTGAAGAAAACACTAAAAACTCCAAGGAATGATACTGATTTGTTCAGGGCCGGATTCACCTTCTTGCCGCCTATGGGCCGCCTGTATTTTCCCGCCCCTTTCTCATTCGTATTGAAACTCGATAAAAATCATCAAGTGAACGTGCCAGCGGGGGAGGGGTGCATAAGACGCATTTACTCGTGTTAAACACATTTTTTTTGGAGAGCCCTGTCAACACTACTAGCAAAAGTTCACGGAAGTTAAGTGCGCGAAAGTTAAGTTTCGTAACCTATCTCTGTGTGGACAAGGCCTCCCATGTATGGCGCAAAGCGTGAAGTATTCAGACAGTCTTGCAGGCGCTATGCGTTTCATGCCGACCGCTGCAGAACGCACTGTGTTGGACGCAATGTATGAAGTATTCACGCAGTCTTGTAGGCGCTATGCGTTTCACGCTGACCGCACTGTGTTTGGCGCGCTATCCATTTCATGCTGACCGCAATGACCGCACTGTGTTTGATGCAATGCGGGAAGAATTCGTGCAGTCTTGTAGGCGCTACTATGTGTTACATGCCGATCGCAGCGCTGAGGGATTCTCCTTTTCATTTCAAGTCCTCGTTATCATATCTCTCTAGGTCGCGCCGCGCCGTTCCAGGCCAGATTGCGTGTTTGGTTTCTCTCTTAACTCGACTAATTGAAGGTACTGTCTCTTGTATCACTAAGAGACGACAAAATTAGAAATTACTATACTCTCAGTAAATGAGAGATTTTGTCGCTTTTTCTAGTTTGTAATTTTATTGTCTAAATCCGATTTTTTTTTATACCTACACTTAAAAAAAAATTGCACATTTTTGCCGCCCCTTAGATTTGCCGCCATGGACCGCGGCCCATGTGGCCACTCCCTTAATCCAGCCCTGGATTTGTTATCATTCAAAAAAATGAAATGTGAGAGGAGATTTTCAAACGCCACAAACAGGATACATGGTCTGCTATTTTCACCGTCGATATATACACGCATGTAAAAAACACAATTCATTCAAGATCATAAATAAATCTAATTTTAAAAGAGGTGGCTTGCAGTGGCGAGGTGTGATTTCGATTTCGATCGAATTTCGATTATGCTCCATTTGAAGCTATGGTGAAGAATCGATTATTACGGTGTTCGTTGCGAACACCGTGTTTATCGATCCTTCTCCATAGGTTTAAAACGCAGAGCAATCGATAAATCGCAAAGCGCGCCACGCCACTGGTGGCTCGCCTCGAGGAAGTAAAATTTTGAATCACTTCAAGTTGACTAAATCTCTGAATTGATTATTTAAAATGAGTCTGCAAACTCTGCAGGTAATTTGAAATACGCAAATTTATTCCTTAACGCTCTGAATCAAGTAAACAATTATTTGAAGAAGTAGTTATGAAAAGTGAACCTAATGAATTGAGTTCGAAAAGCAAGCTTTAAATTTAATCGGTGCATCAACTCTCGTAATTAAATTCATTCAGACGTTCTATTCATATCGCCTCCGTGAAAGCTATCGAAGACTTTTGATTCCAGCTTGAAGCAGAATCCATATAAGTTGCGACGGTTAGTGATAAAAAAGACGAGTTCACTTCAAACAAGGCAGTGAAATGAAAGCAGCCTAAGTTATAAGAATATTAAATATTTCAAATAAAAATTTGGATTTCTTTTTTCTTCGAAAAAAGCCAGCGACCGATTGCATAATTAATGAAGATGTTGCATGTGTGAAGAATTTGCGATTTGACTATTGATTCTTATGTAAAAGTTCGCGAGAAACACGATGGTGCCACTGGTTTTCTCTGAAATTAACTCCAAAGCTCAAAAAAAGCTCTCAAAGTGAGGCCAAAATGGAGGGGATATCCCACCCTACCCTGAGAGTCCACCTCTGCATCAAAACAAACTCTCCATGCAAAGATAGGGAGCAAATACATTGACAGGGCTGCCACTTTATTTGGGGACTCTAAAACTGAAAACACGGCATCACTGCTAATGTATTTGCTCCCTATCCTTGCATGGAGAGTTTGTCTTGATGTAGAGGTGGACTCTCAGGGTAGGGTGGGATATCCTCTCCATTTTGGCCTCAACTTGAGAGCTTTTTTTGAGCTTTGGAGTTAATTTCAGAGAAAACCAGTGGCACGTGCCATCGTGTTTTTCGCGAACTTTTACATACGAATCATCAATCAAATTGCAAATTCCTGACACATGCAACATCTCCATTCATGTAAAATCCCGGAGCTGTTGCCGCAATTCGTTTTTCCAAATATCACCTACCAAAAAACTTATCGCAATTTTAATATTTTGGATAGCTCGTGACGTCATTTTCCGAAGACGTACGCCCTTAAAAACACAAAAAATTAACAGCACGCTAAAAAATACCCCGCTACAAAAAGTTTCAGCTGTACTTATGACAAAATAACGAAGAGTTACATCAACTTGAAAGAAAAAATAGCAACTTTAGAAGCGCATATGAAGCGTTTTCGGGCATATTTGTATAGGTAAAAATAGTCATATTTTGAGCAGAAAAATTGACCCTGAAAGTTAAATGGGTTAACATCCGGACACCCTGTAGATAGGCATTTTTACAGAATATTTTAGAGTCACGTTCCCTCGTCTGGGAAACTACGAATTGTCGAAAACTTCTAAATTTAGTCATATTCTTAAAGATACTTATTAAAAATCCGAGGAAAAGTAAGTAGTCAGTTTGGAAAATCTTCCGATTTCAGATTCAAAGTCCTATGCACGGAAGTATAGTTCGACAAGGGGAGCCTGTTGAAAAAGTATTTTTGACAAGAGATCTTCAAGAAGTGAAGAATGGTGGTGTAGCTGACAACCCATCCACTGGTGGAGACTCGGCACACTGGCGGAGTCAGCAAATTGGCAACATTGTTTTCCTCCATTTAAACCAATATGTATGTATCGATTCTTGGAGGGACTAGGTGCTCCAACAAGAATCGATTATTAAACATGGGTTTTAATGGAGAAAATCCGGTGTTGCCAAATTGCTGGATCCGTCTCTGACTCGGCACGATATGCAACATCAAGAACTCAAACAAGGGTTCTTTCAAATGGAAAATTGTCGTACAAAAAAGGAAAACGTAGACAATGAGCGACTGCCCTGATTCTCCTTTGGGTTGAATTTATCGGCACGCAAAAAAAGTGTGAATTCACGGAAAAAGTATGTTCATCAAAATGAATGTCACAGAAATTGTAATAATTCACGCATATAAAAAAGAATTGCAATGGAAAAAATGTTGCACGGAAAATCAAAGTTGTGAACAGAAAAAAAAAAAATACTTACACGAAAAATGAAGTGAAGAACAGGAAAATAATCCTCTTTCACTGTGGAGCTCGCACGCAAATTTAAAGTGCAGGAGCGGTAAGCAAACGTCTCAAAGTTCATTAAAAATTCATAAAAAGCGCGTTCGTCGTATTGTTAAAATTATATGTTTTTTAAAAAAATATCGAAAAAATGAAGCGTCTTAATCTTAAACCAACAGAGCTTGCTTGGCTTTTGCGGGCCGCCCTCTCTTTCGCTTCTGGCCCAACGGAATTGTTTTGGCCTCTGGTGGTTTATTCACTAATTTCAGCCGGATTTGCATTCCCAATGTATGTTTACAAATGTGTTTTTTCAGGAAGTGAGGGCATGTGCAATCGAAGTCATTAGTATCGTGTTCATTGATTGAGATGGTTCAAATGCTGTAGTGGCTCTGCTTAAATTGGTCGAATGTCTTCCACTTACCGGCCACGGCTTTAAATGTGGTTAGACGTTTTTGAGCGATATTCTCAGACATATTGGAGGAGGCCGTGAAAAAACAGTGACCTATCTTTAACTGACCGTTTTAATACCTTCTTATTCATACAGGCCCATTGGTATGGGAGTTAGTGGGCTTATATTTATTTACCGTTCATTTGATTTATTTTTTCGTTTCAACTTGCTGCAGAATTCTGTGGTATCAAAGGAAAATGTCGTGCAAAAAATACCGCGCAATTCAATAAATTTTGCACGCATTCAGACGATTTTTGTAAAAAAAAACTGCGTGCAAACCTCTTTTTTTTGCGTGTGCTTCATTATTCCCCTTCTCCTTTCAAGGATCTGTAGAGGAAGATCGGACGAGTAATATTCGCAGCCACTGGAACTGCTGTCAACTTTGAACGATCAACAATCACCCCTGATTAGCTCGGAATAATTCTGTGGGAGGTAATTTCAATTTCCTTCCATTGAAGAGCCAGAAAAAAACAGCTCTTTCTTGTTTCTTTCCGGAATTCGAGAATCGCTCAAATTTTAGAGCAACCAAGTATGTAGACATCATCTTGAGTGACTCTCAAAATAATCAAATTATTCCGGTGGTGAAACTCTCAAACCACGTATCTCGTTAGTGGTGTTTAAAAATTCCTGCTCCTATTTTATTTTTTCGGAGAAGAGCAAATAAAATCATCCCTTGAAGTTTTCATAGAATTTTCTGCACACAGAGAAGAACAATCACGGAAATTTTTAAGATTTGACGTTGAATAATTTTCCTTTTAAAAAAAATCAAGTATCACAAGAAGTCTGCAATGTTGCAAACTGAGGTACGTTGTTTGGGACTTTTACCATCGATTTAACTGATTATATGTTAAAATAATATTATAGACCTTCAGTGAATACACAAAATTAAAAGAAGTTTCACTTCGACTTCGATCGAGACTCCAATCAATTTCTTTTTCATTTCTATTTCGCAAGCGGCAATTATTGGATCGCGAAAATTTCTGTAAGAATATTGCCGCGGCTCTATAGAGTGTAATAATTGTAATATTATTCATCACGTGCTGGGTATTAACGTAAAGGCAGAGGATTGTTAGAAAAATAGGAAAGTAGGAAGTTCTAATGAGCTCGCACTTCTTTGCTGAATATACAATTGCTAAAACGCTAATTGAAGGCGCTTTTAATGGCGCCAATGAAAACTCCGCGCGCGCGCTCTAGCAACGGCAGATGAAACTTGGGATGTAAACAATGAATGTTTTGGTTTTGTTTTTAGCGGCGAACGCGAAATAGTTTTCGTAATATTTCGTCACAGTTAGCTGATTAATATTTTGCAAATCATGGCTACATATTTCGGTCTAGATCTTATGTTTCATATTGTCGAGAAGGATATCTCCAAGAAAAGTGATGTTCTACTAATATTCACCCACTGGTTGTTGAGCAAGGAAGGTTTCAAATGCATTGGTCTCGGACATTCTGTAAGTTAACCTTAAAAGTCACTCTTGTTTTGTGGGTTGAAACCATTTTTTTAAAATTAAAAACCTTTAATTTTTTTTTCTTTTTGTGTAGACGCTAGTCTCTATTAGTTTATATCTTGTTTTAACTCTATGATCCTCGGGTTTATCTCACATTGCATCATCCCATGGTGCAACGGAAGACAGCGATTCGCCAAATTCTCTTACTTACATTGTTAAAGCTCGCGCATCGTATATTCAGACGAACGTCAAAGTATTGTTTTTGTCACCACTCATCAGGGGTGCCATCTGACTGCATGTAATAACCTGTTGAGTGGTGGTAATTCAGAGCTAATCAGAGATTGACGTTTGTCTTAACATACGATGCGTGAGCTCTATATCCTCCGCGGCAAGATTATCGATGTTATGGCAGAGCCACAAGATAAGATATAGGCCTATCTTGACCATGCAATGGATCACAGTTTGATGTCTTATCAGGTTGCTTCTATCCTTCAATTATCCGGCCACTGCTCAGGAAAGAATTCAAGAGTTGCACTAAAGCAATTTTAAGCCTTCTTGCAAGCTGTTTGTGTATGAATATAAACCCGAAATTTTACTGTTGCAATAACTCGCAGAATTATCATCGCTTTAAACTGTACCCCCTCAATAACGTAAATTGCAGTCATCATCCAGTGCGTCCAACGCAGCAAAACTAACTGTTTTTTCGAACAACTTGCTTTTTTATCAAAAGATATTTCCTAATTACTTGACCCTGGATGTTTCTAACCCTTTTCCCAGAAGTCTCCTTAATAGTCATCAAAGTCTCAGTAAGTACTTTTTTCTAATGTATATGGGGGTCTAATTTTACAAAGGATTAGCAAAACTGCATCTTATCGGAGATATAATCGAAAGTTATGTTCAGTATTGGCTGCATAGAAGATCATTATGGACTTAATGAAATGACAAGTAAGTTGACAAGAGGAAAATAGGTTAACTGTGCAAAGTGTTCTGTAAAATTTTCAGGTGGATCACGATCACTGATTAATCCTATTTAACCGTCTAAATTGTTTCAGGAAACTTTTAAAGGAGATGAGCCAACCAGTGATGTTCCTCCAGATGGCTGGAATAAAGATGAAACTTACGCAGTACGTTATCTTAAGGATGGCGGGCTTTTCATTTTACGAGGTGTCAAATCCAATGATGATTTGGTTCTCAACTTATTGGTGAGCATCTGTGAAGTTTCACAATTTACAATAACATCTTCAAACTTAGAGGATAAGACTGGAAAGAAATGTTCAAAATTGGAAACATTTTTAGTAACTTGATAGGCGAAAAACTATTTGCCTTAAGTACGCAAACCTAAAACTTCTGCTCTTGTAGAACGATGGTGAACAGCTTTTTTTTTTTTACTTTGCTAGTGAAGAACAGAGTAAAAGCAGTCAAAAATGCTCATGAGCCCGGAAAAATTGTTGTTGTAGTTAGATTTAGATGAAGGTGAAGTCTTAGTTCATTCTTTTCTGGAATCTAAAATAACTGGTGTTGGCATATGCCTATCTCTAAGAAACCTGTAAGTATTTTTTAAACATTAGAGATGGAGCATTTGATGCATCTGGATAAATTTTTGAGATAGACTAATCTGTCATGGTACGAGAACCAAGTAGCCAGTAAATTTTGAGGATTCTGATACAATCATTGTGGCAAATCTTACTTAGACTCAACTTGAATCAAAAAGGGACAGTCATCAAAAATTCGCTGAGCAAGTCAAGGTCGATAGATCTAGGTGGGTCCATTAGCAATATGTTCTTTGGAATTTCCTGATCTGGGGTCGAATTCCCCTGATTTGCAGTTTCACTCCAAATATTTCCCTAATTTGCGTTTGTGCTGCCACGTTGCATAGTTCCTCCCCAATTTCCCTGATCGGGAGAACAACTGAGTGGGACAAGCCAATCGGAGGAATCTGTTGGCAATGCGGACAGCCCTCACCCCCGATTTGCAGAGATTATCACACTCAACTTTTCTAACAGACTGACCTAGATCTATCGACCTTGGAGCATGTGAAAGTGAACGTACTGAAAGTTGTAATTGGGTGAAGTATTTATCTTTAGTAGACAAGGTATGGTCAATTACAGTTGTAGATGTTTGATTATTAGGTACTTACAGTAAAATTGGAAAAATCTGATAAGATCTTAGGTACAAAATTGATGGAAACCTTAAGTACAATCATTACCTACCTTATCTTTTTAATATTAAAGTTGAACCATTTTTGCCACTATGGCCTCAACCAATTAGGAGCATGGCGTTTTATTCTGCTGCTAGTCCTCTTTTTTTGTCTATGGTTAGTTCAAAGACTTTTTAAGTATTGATAAGATCGTTAATTTTAAATACCATCTCATAGGAGTTTTATATCCTCTGAATTAAAACGCCAGTCATTGATTTTATCGCACTGGCTCGATTCTATAAACAAAATCATCTTTTTATTAAAATATATTTCTCATTGTTTGTACAGCGAGTCTCAGATCTTGAGGTTGCATCAGTGGCTGTTAATGTGAATGAATCAGTTGGCGAATTGAAAGGTAAAATTGAGGAGATGATACCGAAGCATGCCGAGGTTTTTTCCACGCTTCAAAAAGAACTCATAGACCCTGTGAATCTAAAAACAAGCAAAAGTGCGACAACCCAAACACAGAAAGAAGATGCTGCATCTACAACATCAACTTTAACAGAACCTTATGGAATACCTGAAAGGCGTGGGTAAGGAAATTCTTGTTTATTGTTACCTCCTTTCATTCCTTTTACCTATACTCATTGTTAATGAGGATTATTTTTTGAATTGATAAAGGGTACTCTGCAGTGGCGTGGCGTGAATTGTGATACATCGATTGTTATGCCATTTAAACGTATAGAAAAGGATTGATAATCAGGGTGTTCGCAGCGAACACCTCAATAATCGATTCTTTACCATAGATTTAAATGGCATAACAATCGATATATATCGAAATTCACGCCACGCCACTGGTACTCTGGACAGGTATTGAAATTTTGCGATTTTTAGGTAACTCTCTGGTTGTTGCACCACCTTATATGGCTTGCTTAGACAGGATTGCAGGCAATTGCCTCTGTAAGGCCAAGAACCTATCATATACTTACATGAGTTTTGCTATGTATTCACAGAAGATCCTTGCAACTTCGGTTCGAAACTGTATAGGACAAGAAAATATATAATGAGAGGAAATGGTAGTATGCTGACACTATTTTTCTAGATAATAACTGCAGGATCCTACAGAATTTCCTAGTAACACTGCAAGCTTGCAGGCCTGATGATTGCAGGCAATAGGTGCCAGGTTTTTTCTTCTTGCTGCAAATGTCAGCAAAATACAGGCCACACGATTCTCCGAGTTATTTTCTGGTAATACTGCAGTAACTGCTGATTTTAAAGACATAAAACATTGTGTTTAGTAAATTAATGCATTTTCTATCCTCTCAAACAAATCCTAACAACTTTGTTCCTGCCTAGGTATTTTTTCATTTCAATCAACTGCCTCCTGTATTTTCCTAATTCTATTTTTTCTCTTTCAGTGGTTTCCCAGGCCTAGGAAGACAACCTGATCATTCTGATCCTTTTGGTGTCAGGCAACCAGGTCGTTCAGACCCGTTTACTGATCCTTTACGTGTTGGCCGTAGTGACTTAAATCCATTGGCACGTGGTGGGGGTATGTTATTTGACCCTTTTGGACTTCCAACTCAGCCAAATTTCGGCGGAGGTTTCCCAAGGTATTTATATCTGAACCATATCCACTTTCAAATTTGTTAATTTTTTTCCAGTTCAACCAAGAGAAAACTTTTCTTTTGGTGATAAAAAAAAAAAAAAAAAAATTGTGCTAAAGTTAAAAAACGTTGGAAACATTTAAATCCATTGGTTTCTTCAGATCTTTAAAAATATTTGAATATGATTAATTTTCTTCCACTTGAAATCACTTGAGCCATGGAGAAGCAAGCCAACATACTTGCATATTCTTTAAATTTCTCTGCTACCTAGGATTTGTTCAGAATAATCAAAGAAGCCTATGGAAATTGCACACTGGGCCAGTTGCGCTAGTAACAGAATCGAATTTTGATGCTTGACTCTCGTAGATTAGCCAAAAATAAGAAGATCTGCCCCAACAGCATCTTTCTATGTTCAATATTTACCGAGATATCGTCCTTTGAAAAGTCAGGTCTTTCGAAGCCGAGTTTTCAATCGAGTTTTTCAAGCCGCGATATCTCGGTTAATATTCAACGTAGAAAGTTGCTGTTTGGACAGATCTTATTATTTTTAGTTGATCTGCAAATTAAAACATCAAAACACGATTCTGTGACCAGTGCAACTGACCTTTTTACAGAATTTTCTGAGATGTAGAGAGATTCTGTCTGCTGCTTCTTTGTTATTGTGGCTCATGTAGTTTCCTAGTTGAAATCTTTAAAAGAATATGGGATTTACCTGGAATCAGTTTAACTGCGTCAGGTGTTGCACAATTTTCTCGGATGTTTCTTTTTATAAACTTTGAAGTGGGCAACACTAACTGTAAATTTTGTGAGTATATTCTTCCTAATCTTTTGTAAATTCACAGGAAGTTTTAAGATATTGTATAGTTTAGTTCTCTTCTCTATTAAGGAAATAAAATATGAGAGAAAAGAGGGCACTATGAAATGCTGATTGGCTGATTCTGGTTTCATTTTTCCAAATCATGCATGAAAATTTGTAAGTCTGTCTATTGAGATGAATATACTGGAATATTTGTTCCAAGTTTACATGAGCTATAATACATACCATAAGTTTAGTCTTTCCAATTTGGTCAAGTCCAACATTTATTTACAATATTTTTCAAATTAAATTCAAGCTTTTATTCAAGGTGTAGTTCATTGTCGGTATCTTGATTGTGACAGAGTGAAATGTAGCAGAAAATGTTTTTCAAAACATCCATTTTTACTCCTTGTTGTTAATTGAATCCATTTTGTAGCATCACCAATAACCATTTTTGGAATTAAATAAAATGTGAGAGAGGTATGGATTGTTCCAAAGCCGCACTCTCAAAAATTTTCAGAAACAGAGATAAGGCATGAAATGAGGAAAATGTGTTGGAGAGTCCATACCACATAAGTTTACACACTTTCAGAGCACGGCAGAAGATCAACTAAAGTCTAGCATTGATTTTAGTTACAAGAATCAAGATGGCAGATCTTCTGTAGCAGTCTGAAGTGTACTTTCAACTTATTTGATGTGGACTTAATGAAAAACCAGTGAAGGCTTGCAGTTAGTTACTACCTTGAAACCTTTGACAAGTTTAAAAAACAGTGGTGGGACAAGTTTAAAAAACAGTGGCTGGACATCTTCATAAATAAGAAAATCCTTGGTTTTCTCTCATTAAAGTAAAGTATAATAAGAAGTTTGCAATATTAGAAACTAAGACACAAAACTTATGAATAAAAATTTAAATTATTAACACTAACTTACTCACTTTGCGAGTTTTAAAAATTAGACCTTGTGAACAATTTTATTTTAGATCTCTGTATTGCACCCTGGTGTCAATGAGTCCAGCTATAAGTATTTTGGAACATTATTGTCTAGTTCCATTAATCAATATTGTCATTGAACAAAAACAAAAATAATCAATAGGTAAACAGAAATAAGACTTAAAAATCAAACTGATCAAATGTTTTTGTTTCAGACCTGGATTTGGTATGCCAGGTGTACCGCCAGGGGCTAGGTATGACCCGATTGGCCCAGGAGGAATTGGCCCACTAGGACCAGGACGTGGAAATCGACGAACAGGACCTGACCCTGATCACTTACCACCTCCAGGATACGATGATATGTTCATGTGATGAGTCTGTATTTTTGTTTGGCCTTACTATCAGGTGTCGATTTCCTGATGGATTTGTGATCGTTAGTGCTTCGTTTTTAGCACTTTTTTGTACATATTTGTAAGATTATTTTCTAATGTTTTCGTTTCTGAATAAACTTTTGTAATTTCATTTTTACGGAAGTAAGAAATTTTAAATTCCATTTTGAAAAGTTAAGCATTTATTTTCCAAAGCGCTTAAGGCATCAGGGTAGAAAGTGAAGCTTTATCGTGACATTTTAAAGATTTTTTACTATATCTCAGTCAGAGGCTGAAATAGTTCTTTACTCTGCAAATGACTGGTTGAGAACAAATTATGAACTTTTCCTAAAAATTAAGGGCTCTCACTGGTTTTTATGTGTTTCCCCCCCCTTTTTTATTTTTAATATTAGTCTCTTGCAAGCAATACAGTTTGACAATTCGTGTGAGTATCTTTATCAAATTGAAAATCAACTAAAAAATTTAACAACATTTTAACAAGCTTTCTGTGTTTACCTTTTTGCAAAAACCCAGTTTGTTCTAGAAGCTTGTTGAGACCTCTTTGAAAATTGAAGAAGCCCAGAACTATTTGCACCCCTGACTTGGGTACTCATTTTTCTCAGAGGAAAGTGAAAACTTTCCGTTTGAAAATTCTGTAAATATTGTAATTCAAAATCTAAAAGTTATAATTTTGATTAAATTAGAGCTAAGGAGTTGCAATGATTCAAGTAAAAGAGCCCATTACATTTTTACAAGATGCAACAGGCATAATGCCACCAACGTCGCCGTAGAGACTCTAATTTAAAACATAACAAGCTTCATAATTTCTGAAAGGGAAAAGAATATCTCTTTAAATGAAAGCTGAACAAGATAAAACCTCAGCGAGAAGAAGTAGTCAAGTTTTTTTCTCCGAGCATTACAAGTCTATGAGGGTCATTCAGAAATTAAGGTTCTACAGTTAATATCCTGAAAATTAAAACAAAAAATTCAAATGCTTGAAAGATACATGTTGATCGTTCTATCAGCTTTAGAACAAGCCCAAGTGTTAGGTTGGTCCAGAGATTTTCACACAATAAAATCAATCTCAAATGCAAAACATTTTTCTGAAGAATAATGAATTGATTTTTTTCTATTGAGAATTTTCTTATAAAAATTTCATGCAAAAACATACTCAGGTTATTTTTCTACCGAAAAGTTGAAAGTTTGATACAAAAACAAGCAGGTTACTCAAGTACTTTAATATTGATCAATTAAATTAGGCACATGGTGATCGGTCGAAACAGCTTAAGTAATTGAGTGGGTAGTTTGTATTTTTTACAGTCCCTAGCATTTAAACAACCATCACTTGAGCTTTTAAGTGTTAATTCTATGGAAAAAGAGGAACAAAAAAGGAACCATGAGCATTCCTACACCTTCGACCTGTCAAAGTTTGTATCTCCTCAGATAAGTATTTCCATTAAGAGGAAAGTTGGATCAAGGAGGCAGGTAAGTAAGCAAGCCAGAGATATCCTCACTCTTGATTTTTAACAATGATATTATTAGATTCTTTCTGCTTCATATTGTTCTCATTTTTTGCCCCTTACATCCAAAAAAGAAAGAAAAAAACATGATAACTCTATGAAAAAGAAAAGAAAATTGCACAAAAAAATGTATACCACGAGTACTTAAGATGAACTTATATTGCAGATTATAATTTTGTACATGTGATTACACTATAGTTATTGGTCCACTGACTGCATGTTTTAATCTCAAGTAGCACAGATTTAAATCTATTGTACTTTCATGGTAAAACTATTAGGTACAGTTGCAATGGAGTGTTGAGAATGTTGTCTATACACTGATTGAAGGGGCTTTCTTGTTAAAATTTATTGCATTGCAATAATTGAAAAAAGTTGCAATTTTTTTGCAGTGTACCTAAATCGCCGAACTTTACCACACATGGAAAACATTAATTGTATTGATGCTGTAAAATCGACATTGATTGACCAAATGGACTATATTTTGCAAGGTCAGGAACTAAAATTTCTGACACAACGGTAAAAACACTTACTTTCGGGCATAGGGATTAAACTAATGGTACACCTTGTTGTTTCCAAAAAGAGCTAGAGATTGTAGTTCCTAATTCTGAAAAGAATAGTCTAAATCATGTAAGAATAGTGCAATTTAATGGTAAAAAAGTTGCATTTTAGTTGCATTCGGTAAAATGCAAAAAAAAGTCTCTAGTTTCATTGCACTTTTCTATACTTGGAATCTTGGATGCAGTCATAGCCAGGGCAAGGTGACGATTGTGAGGTGGGTAGTTGAGTACCCATTGCCTCATTCAGGCCTGTATCTAAAATAGCCTAGTGCCGAGCGAATCTACTCAAGTGTTTTTGGGGCAAACTGCTAGTTACTTCCTAATTAATTTTGAACAGCAAATATTAAGAATAATTTTGTGGTAAAACTTTTAAAACTTTTTTGAAAAACTCACGCTTTCACCAATTTGTTCTTTTTCAAGCGTGAGTTTTTCAAAAAAGTTTTAAAAGTTTTAACACAGCTTTTACTGTTTTTCAAAAATTTCGATTATTTTATTAAAAAATTTGTGGTATGCGTTATTTTCTTGATATGAACCAAAACAATTTATAATTACACTTTATTCAGCTAATTATTTATTTTGTAGACAACTCCTCACAAATAAAATCCCCCCCCCCTAAAAATTCAGACTCTGCGCTTTCCGGGTTGGGGCAACAATGTGGTATGCGTATTTTTTTTGTAGGAATCAAAACAATTTGTAATTACACTTTATTAGTCCAATTTAATTTTGTATTCAAGCCACAAATAAAGTCCCCCCCTCCCCCGCCGTGAAAATTTCAGACTCCGCGCTTTCCGGGTCGGGGCAACAATGCGCAAGGCGGCATAACATTCAGCGCGAGGCCTCCGGAATCGATATTTGCCCCGCAAGCGGAAGCGGGTATGCCACACGGCGTACTGCTGCATGCGGCGTGGAGCATCCAGTGCCTCGGGTTCGGTCCTCGCGTCGAGCGTGTCTCCCCAGCGCATGAGCCTCCTCTGTTGCTCCTTGCTCGGTCAGTCAGTAAACATGGCGGATTCGCGGATAAATAAACCGTCGCTGTGATAAAGTGAAGTGAAAATCGTAACATGTGTTTTAAAATGGGTTGAAGTGGTGCATTACTCGCGCGTGTAAATATTTCGGACTCCATGTTTTGTGTTTTGTGATTCCGATTGGATTTTACGGTAGTGCAGTGTTCAAAATGAGTGATAAAATCAACGTAGCTGTCCGTGTGAGGCCCTTCAATCGAAGAGGTAATCTTGCATTCACTCCTCGTGATTTTTGGATGCTCTGGTTTTGGAATGTTCCACTCTGGAAATGGCTTTCCACAATTGTTACTCGAGCGCTCATCAAATGCTATAATTTTATAGGTTAAGGGAGAAATCCAATAGAGGTGATATTTTGATTGGGCGTAAATACTAGCCTGCCCCTGGGTTTCAGAATCTGTACGTGAGTAACGGTGAAGTTTGGGAAGCATTTCACAAGAAACTTCGTTCGAACTGATTCCAAGGGCTGAAAGGCAGCTTGGCACAAATGTGGGTCAGCGCTGCGTCAAGTTATTTTGCTCATTATCTAAAGAAGCTTTTGGTCTCTGCGCTTCAAAAAGCACTTGTGCCAGTGTCTGAGGTGTCAAATGAGTAGAGTCCGTTTCAGATGACTTTTGCTCTTTATCCGTAGGTGCAGGTTTTGGAATTCCGTATCTTGCACACTCAGCGATAGAGGGAAAATAACCTGAAACGGATTCTGTCAACAGAGTCCTAGAGTGACTGGTTTTTCTTTTCATGTTCGTTTTGCATAATATGACTTCTCATTTGTTAAGTGAAACTAACGCAGAAAGGAAAAGCAAAATCCCTAGTAAGCTCTGATGAGGTCTGATAGAACATCCCAACCTTTGCCGTTCAGATCACTGTTCAGCATTTCAATGTTGACAATGTTAGCAGGTGCCTGGACTGAGAAGTCGTCTGGGGCATTCACTTGTTTCTTTGCAAATTTCGTAAAGTTTTTGTCAACAAAGCGTTGCCTATTGATTTCTAAGCTGTGAATTTGTTAATTGAGCACTTACAGCTGAATAGTCATTCTGCAATTTTTTGTCAGCAAGTAGAGCTCGCGCATTATGTATCGAGACAAACTTCAATTTCTGATTAGCTCTGCATTAGCTCCAGTGAACAGGTTAATATATGCAGTCAGATGGCACCACTGATGAGTGGTGACATACTTAAACAATACTTAGATGTTTGTCTCAACATACGTTGCGTGAGCTCTACCCACTGCTTTTTTTGCTACATATTCATCTACTTTATTGAATCTCTTATTATACCAGGAGGTTCCTTCCAAATGATTTGAAGAGTTCCAAAATTTTTCTCCCACCTTGTCTCCTTCCTTACCATTCAAATTTTTAGACAGTAGGTATCAGCTTTATTTAAAAAAAAGAAAAGAAAAAAAAAAACGTAAAGAAAGTATTCAAATTATTTACTACTGCCTTTGTGTGTTTCAGAATTGGAATTGGGCACAGAATGTGTGGTGGAAATGGATGGGCAGCAAACGCTGCTTCACCATCCTCCATCAAACGACGAAAAGGCAGTAAAGTAAGTTACTTTTGCATAGTATTTCTTTTATTTTACTATTTTCTAGTAATTTTAAGTCGGAGTACTTAAATAATACCGAGGAATATTCACCTAAGTGAGAAGATAATACAAGTCAAAGGATTTTTTTGTTCCTGATTTTCCCAAAACAGATAATAGGTAGGACGGGGTTTGTTACTGTTTGGGTCCAGTTAAAGCTCATCCCAATATATTGGGCAATGCATAGAAAGGGTGATCTGCCTTTAAAATGTTCTCTCTGATCCTTATAATAAAATAGAAATATCAGATCTTCTGACCCACTTTAAAAGTTTGTCAAGAAAGGCAACAACTCTAATTAGGCCCATTCAAGACTTGTTTCAATGAAAACTTGCTTGAAATCTTGTCAGAATTAGTACTTCCTATCTTACTATTTTTTTCAGACCGCAATTATTATGTGTGTCTGAAATACTAATCTTAAGGATTCTACCAAAAAGCACTTTCTTACTTTATCCTCTAGTATTGCATTAAGTATGGCTGTGAATTCAAACTTCCTCTAGGGGTGAGAGGGGAGGGGGGATTTCGAAAAACCTAAAGGAAAAACTTCAGTTAGGACCTGAAATACCTAAAACACATAAAATCATGAGAGCTAAAGTTTTTAGACTTAAAGGGGGTAGTCAAACACATAATCCCTGTTTTGAATACAAGGGTACTAAAGTACCTGAATGTAAGTTTATTTTTCTCAGTGGAAAAAAATAAAGTAGGTAGTTACGTTATGACAACAGTGAATAATAGTTATTGAGAACTGAACACCCTTGAGCATGTACTCAATTAAAGTTAAAAAAAAGTTGTAAAAGTTCTCTTTGTGACTTAACCCCTGCGTTGATCATAGAGTGTCACGTCCATTCACTCTCTCAGAAACCTTAACTAATTCATGAGTGCTAGCTTGAGACAGCATTTAACCTACATTTGCCTAAGTAACTTTGTCCTAGTCAAGGAAAATTGTTTTCACTCTATAATTCTCCATGAACTTTCTTCATCTGAAAACTTTTTCTGGATCACATACTTACAATTAGCTATACATAGAAGACAGTTTTTATGGGGCCTATCCACCTTCCAACTTTTGTCACTAGCAAAAGGTCAAAAAAGGCTCTTGGTGAAAGCCCATGCAGGTCAATCACGCTTACTGGAAAAAAAAGAAGAATTCATTTTTAGATAGAAAGATGAGGCCTCTGTGTGATTACCGTGTATAATCGGATTATTTTGTCCTTTCGGATGCCTCAATAAATAGATGCTACCTTCAACTTTTTTTTATCTTATGCAATGAAAAATTCCGAATTTTTCCGACAATAGTTGTTGATAGGCTACCTAGTTAAAATATTGAACCAAATATGTGTCGTTAAAAATCAGTACTTTGATCAATCGCCATAGTAAAATCCTAGCAGAAAAATGTAGCATGTATAAATTGCCGCCAGTTTTTAAACCGGCGTAAGCGTTACAGGGTTGCCACAGTCAGGGAGTATCGGGAAAACCTGGAAATGTCAGGTAAAATGATGAAAGTGTCAGAGTAAAATTGTTAATTCACCCAGGTGTATTTGCTTTTTAGAATGGTGTGACGTTTTGAACAAGAAATTATGCCTGAAAACTATTTCAAATGATGTCTTTCTAACCATCTGGCATATCTTCAATTGTCAGGGAATTTTACTTAAATGTGTCAGGGAATTTCATCTTTCAAAGTACGTGGCAATCCTGGTGTTAATCAAAGCTCGTTTTTTTACCCATCTATTCGACCTCTTCCTCGCAAAATACACATTCACTGAAAGCGCCTGATCGAGTATGTGAAATCACAGACGCGACATGACAAGGAAGGGAAGGTTACTTAATGAAGATTAATTTGCATGGAGCTCGGGTTGAAGTCCTACAATTGCCAGTGTTTGTGGCGTTTGCATCCTATCACCAACTTTGATTCAATTAAGTCCTGCGTTTTGATTCGCTGAGCTTCCCTCAATCTACCCTCACCGGTGGTTTAGTGTCAGTCAGTGGGGTAGGCAGGGACTTACGGGTCAAGGTGGGGGGCTCTGTGTGGTTTGAAGCTAACACCTACCCTGTCGTGCTAAGGAAAAACGCCGTATAAACATTCGAGAGTTGCCAAATTTCCCTTGATAAAACATGTAGCTTTGACGACATTCTTGCATATTTTTCCTTGAAATTTTCAGATATTTTAGATTAAATTGCGTATACAAAATTGTCTGAAAATTTTGGAAAATAACATTCGCAAATTTCCCAGTAAGTAAAGTCGGTTTTTATCGGAGGAAATTTGCCAACGTCTGTAGGTTCATATGGCGTTCTTCCTTAAATTTTCCGAAAAATGTCGTATAAGCCTTCAGACGTCGCCAAGTTTCCTTCGAAAAACAACGAATTTCCAGAAAAATTTATGAGTATTTCTCCTCCGATTTTTCGGAAGATTTCGTTCGAAATTTGGTTTAAACAGTCTGAAAATTTCAAGCAAAAATATTCACAAATTTCTTTAAAAATGAATATTTGCCGAGAGGCAATTTGGCGACATTCGAAATGGTTCACACAAATGGAAAAGGTTCGTTCTTCGCATGCTTGGGTAGATCGTTAAATTTAAAAGGTCTTTAAACTAAAATAGTCTGTATCAGTACTTGAACGACCCCCAAATTAATGATGAGGCAGATGGCGTAATTTAAATTGTAGAGAATGAACAATAATCACAGCATCATGTAACAAGTTTCGTCGTTGAAAGTTGTAGCGCGCGTCAAACATTTCCAAAAGCAATTCATAATTGACAAATTAACTCTGATTGTTCAGATAAAAATAATTTCATGAGAAGTTTACGTTTACAGTGCAGGGAAAATGAACGCAGATCAAATCGGCAATCGAAAAAATACTCAGTGTTCGAGAAATAAGTAACCACCACCACGCGACAAATATCCAACATATTCCTTGAAAATTCGTTTTCGATCAGAGGAAATCTGGCAACGCCTGAAGGTTCATACGGCGTTCTTCCTTAGTGCGGCAGGACAGCATCGTGATGCTTTGGTCTCTAACTTTGACAAGTTCTGCCGTGCTAAGGAGGAACGCCGTATGAACATTCGAGGGTTGCCAAATTTCCCTTGATAAAATACGTATTTTTGACAAAATTCATGCATATTTTCCCTGGAATTTCTCAGATATCTTAGATCAAATGCGCACAAAATTGTCTGATAATTTTGGAAGAAAATATTGAAAATTTTCCCAGTGAATTCAGTTTTTATCGAAGGAAACTTGGCAACGCCTGAAAGCTCATACGGCGTTCTTCCGTAACACGACTGAGTCGTGGTCCATTGATCGTCGAGCACATCAAAAGGAAGATCCGCTGCTTGGAATGGGGATGATGCACGGATGAAGCTATTCGGGATTGTTGTCAGGACCCCCCGTCCCCACCCCTGCTCAATCCCCGGAATCCAGACTGCCCTCAGGGACCATGCTCCGCATATCGTATTGTGTCTCCCGGTTTTTTTGCGCCCCGCTTTGTCAGACGGATGCTCCCTTTCTCCGCGGAATGTGGGGGCGGGGTCTGTCGCGGGCCTAATCGTGCGGATTCGCGATTGCGATTCACCACCGGACTGTCCGGTGCCGAACCGGGACCCCCTCGAATGCTGCGGAATTCCGCCGTGCTCAGGAAGAACGCCGTATGTACATTCGAAAGTTGCCAAATCTCTTCGAATAAAACATGTATTTTTGAAGAGTGTTGAGCATATCTCTCCTTGAAATTTTCAGATATTCTAGATTAAATTGTTAACGAAATTCTCTGAAAAAGTTGAGGAAAAATATTCAGAATGGAGATGACGAATTTGCGATTTGACTGTTGAATCTTGTGTAAAAGTTCGCGAGAAACACGATGGTGCCACTGGTTTTTTCTGAAATCAACCCCCAAGCTCAAAAAAAGCTCTCAAGTTGAGACCAAAATGGAGGGGATATCCCACGCTATCCTGAGAGTCCACCTCTACATCAAGACAGACTCTCCATGCAAAGATAGGGAGCAAATACATTGACAGGGCTGCCACTTTATGTGGGGATTCCAAAACTGAAAACACGACAACCCTGCTAATGTATTTGCTCTCTATCTTTGCATGGGGAGTTTGTTTTGATGTAGAGGTGGAATCTCAGGATAGCGTGGGATATCCTCTCCATTTTGGCCTCAACTTGAGAGCTTTTCCTGAGCTTGGGAGTTACTTTCAGAGAAAACCAGTGGCACCATCGTGTTTCTCGCGAACTTTTACATAAGAATCAACAGTCAAATCGCAAATTCCTCACATATGCAACATCTCCATTTCCCCAAAGAATTCGTTTTTTATTGAAGGAAATATGGCAACCCCTGAATGCTCTTACGACGTTTTTCCTGAACACGGCAGGATTCGATTAATCCGCCATTCGTGCGTTACGCGGGCAGTTTGCTGTTTATTAGCTCTGATAAGACGAGTGGGGAAAAATAGGAGTCGGTGATATTACAGAAGGAAATGAATTAAAAATCGGGAGAATAAGTCAAATGTAGAGGATTCAGAATAGAGAACCTGAAACTCTGCAAAACCCCAAAAGTAGCTACGGGATTCATCACCCTCTGGCCGAAGTATCACAAGCGCCATGCGACGTTTCAAAATTTCCGCCGCCTTTTTATTTTTTTGTAGGTAGGTTTTTTTTCTCTTGTAAATCGTTGGTTGAATCCGTAGGAAAGTTTCACTGACTTTTATTGGCAGTATGAAGAAAATTCAGTGACATTTTGGGACAGCTTCGTTGAACAAGTTCTCTGCAAAAAAAAAAAAAAGAAAATGGCGGCGAGAATTTTTAAACCTCGCATGGCACTTGTGATACTCTGGCCGGCAGGTGACAGAGGTATCCTATATTATCCTAAGTAATGTAATATTAGTAGATTACTGGAGAAGGAATTATCCTCCTCTAAGCTGTCGATACGTTTTTCATAGGTAGTCGGGCCGCGTTTAGCAGAAAGAAACCAAGCCACGTCA